TAACGAGTAACTTGAAGTAACTGAGTTACTTTTGATAGAAGTAACTAGTAATGTAACTAAGTTACTATTTTAAAGTAACTTACCCAACACTGATTGGCAGTGACTCATGGCTAATAGGGAGGAGATGTGGGAGTCACACAGGTCAAAGGGACTTGTTGGTTATGCAAACAGCAGGAAACATCTGCCAAAGGAGGTGAAAGAGCAGAAACTTTGGACAAAAATGGGACAGTTAGGATGCCATTCTCAGCAGACTGAGAGCCACGAAATCCTGGTGTGTGCCTCCATCTTTGACTATTTTCAAGTCTTTGTGAAAGCACTTTGCTTTTTGAGTTTCTCTTTCTTTATAAAACATCCTTGAATATTAACTTTTTAAAATTATTTTTAAAGAAAATCAGGCCTTCAGCTACAATTTGTGAGACGACACTAAACCAAACACAGTCGAAGGACTGCGATGATTCCCCAAAAGTAGCTGTCTGTCAACTAAGAAATCTATAATGTAAGAGGACAGAATCACAGCTTCTAAAAACCAGTTCAAGCCTCAAAATGCACAAAATCATTATTCAAAGAGAGCAAACCAGACAGAAAGGATTTAAATCAAAGTGAAGTCAGTCTGATGTGGTGAACAGAGAGTTTCTAAACACTGTGGCTCAGCTGGATATACAAACAATAATAGAAGGAAGACTCTTTAAAGATCGATAGCTTCAGTTATTTAAGCTGATCAGACTTCTCACTCTTTCTGTGCCTGTGACCCAAACAAATACATTTGACATCACATTATTCTTTCTTACACTGACACCACTTTAAAACAAGGTTTCCATGATGTCTGTTAACGTCCTTGTAAGATGGACTTCCACACACACAATGTTTGTGCTCTTGGATATCAGTTTTTATAATTACACGCACATATAACGACCCACAGTCTGTTCGGCTCTGGTCTCAGCTCTCCATTCTCATGCCAGTCTCTCGCTTCACTATAAAGGTAAAAGAGGTTGTCATCAGTTCAAACGCCACCAGCTGTGGCCCCACCAGCCTCTCCAGCACCGCCCCCTTGAGCTCACTGCACTACCTCTCCCTTGCAGCTAAACCAGGGACCACACCTCCGCAATAGATCTGTTAAATCTAGTGGGAGGGACTAAGATGTGAGGATTAGAGTTAATTATCTGCAATCTAACGAATGACAAAGACGTATGTTTCTTGGCAGACTTTGGAGCGCCTCAGTGTTTCCCTAAAGGAGCTGGAGGAGGTGGCTGAGGAGAGGACCGGTTGAGTGTCTGTGCTCAGTCTGCTGCTCCTGCAACATTAATGAAAGTATGAATAAAATATGTATTTGTGAATAACTTTTCAAGTGATTTCTGAACGTTCACTTTTACTTCTGCCATATCGGTTAAATGCTGCCTCCTGGTGTCCTGTGATCATAACGTCATCATGAAATAATCACAACAATAAGTATTTTGTTGTCAGTTATAACACCTACAGCAAATAATAATTAACCACACAGACCATTAAACAAAATCTGATTTCAGAAGCTTTTATTGATTTATCTTTGTTCTCAGCTTGAAGACAGAATAACATTCATATTTAATGACATTTGTAGTATATTTGCTAATTCTCACCAATCACTAACTGGCGTATCTTTACTCATTTCTCTAAATTATCATGAATTCTCCCAATCCCTACTTACAAATGCCTTTGTTTGTTTCTCTATTTTACATTCTTTTAATGACTTACTGTTCAGTGTAATAATTTTACTGTTTATTCCTTACTGTGAAGCAATTTGGTGTACCTCTTGGTTTTAAACATGTTATATAGTAAAATTGTTTTGTATTGTGTATATATATG